TCAATTTAGCCCCAAATTTTGGTACCAAAACAGCCCCATCTCAAGAGGGCTGAATTGGCCCCAAAAACAGTACCGTTCTGGACTCACCCGTTTCGGCCCCATTTTTGGGGCCGAATTGGCTCTTTTCATTTAACAGTGCTTATCATGGTCCGTTTATTAGAGTCATTTTATGCAGTGCCATATGTACATGATAATATGAAAGTGCTTAAAATTCCGAAGTCATGCTCAGCAGATCATGACTGCGGCAGTTGATCAGTTTAGCATGATTTCTGTGTTTGAAATAAACATTTATTTTAAAGCAAGGAATCTGAATTACGGCTGGAGGTTAACTATCCACCATCTGGTTGGTAAAGGTGAATCAGAATTGAGGAACGTTTATTCCCCGCCCCGCGTGCGATAATTGTTGTGTAATATTCAGCTAATACAATTACAAAGTCTTGATAGTTCTATCAGAAACTTTTTTTTTCTATCTATGATTTGGTCAAGTTTTATTAAGGTAACAGCAACAGCTTATGAAACGTTAGAAATGTTTCTACCTAGGAGTTATGTCACTGAAATAGGTTGAACTGATATGATTCGGGAAAGTGTAGCCTTAGAATAAAACTGTATGGTAAGGTGTCCTCGTTTAGGCAACCAGTCTTGAAATCAGACTGAAGACCTAACAATAATCTGAATGAACTGATTAGAAAATGTTCTTACCTGACAAGACAATGGAAACTATAATGCTTTGAATCAACGCGAACTTCACCGTTGCCATCACAGTTAGTCAGCTGGCGAGGTTTCAATTAACTATTAACTCTCTTCCAAGCTGTCGATCCTTTGTAAACGTTTAAAAGGGATCGAGAGCAGGGAAAAGAGCCTGGTTCTAGTATTTCGTAGACTGCAATCAGAGAGCTCTGTCTACTTGATCAGAGCAGGGTTGCCGGATCGGCCCGGACAAAATCAAAACAAACCAATTTGCCCGAAATTAAAGGGTCTTCGCTGACTATTTTGCAGCTAGGGCTGGTTTTATTCTGATGGCCACATCGTAATGCGAAAGATCTTTTGGGCTACTGGGAAGATTCACCTGTTTTTTGTATGTATACGGAGTGAGCTGCCGGTGGAAGAATTGTGGTAACGTGGGATAAACATCCTAAGGTTGAAAAAGGTTTTCGCCGGGTTTCTATGCTGCCCTTGTGTTGGAAAGGCCAAGGAATGTTTTACTTTAGCGGGAATAAGACAAATTGCAATCAGGCAAAAAAAGGACTAAATTTCAAACCAACGAAAAATCTGAGTCCAGTGGTAACTGGCAGAGACCGTAAACACTAACAAGGCATGGTTCTTTCGGCAATATAGTCATGCTGTGCTTGACCGTTCACAAAAGCATGCATCCCTACTCTATTAATATTAACACCGATTACCGTCAAAGAAAGCGGTAAAGCAATAAAACATGAAGAAAAAGCGGCTCTAGAGCTAAAGCTACGCTTACCATAAAAATGCCTGTGTGAGCAAGTCGAAGAGGAAAACATGTAAAAAAAGGAAATACCGCAACAGCTTTTGGTTGTTAGCTTTTTCTTTAAAACTGTTTCCGGCGTTTCTCATGGCCCTTTCTTTCGTAGAGTGAGTCCGTCGATCGGTCGTTGCGGGCAAAAAAGGCATAAGGGCTCACGCCTTGGAATGTTAAAACAACAAGATGAGAAGAAAACGACGATATAAATGTGTTTTTCACTCGTTTCCTTTGCGTGTGATAATAATAAATTATTGTAAATATAATATCAATATTCATCAATGAAGGTCCTGGTAAACTGTGCTTGTTTTTACAGAAGAAATGATGTAAAAAGGAATTCCTATTTAGGAAACAAAACGCTTAATGGCCATTACCTAAACGTTTGTCACGCATAAGTATACCTAGTGGCTTGTACAATTATATTTTCTAGTATTTATTGGATTTATCGTATTATATTTTAGTGTTATATGTTTTGTAAATAGCACTGTAATTCAGCCATTCTCTATATTGCTGCAGTGAGTCTTAATCAACAGTCATTATTATTATTAACTGCCTTAGCGTCCACCCGAAATTAGCGGCCCTCTGTTTACTAAATTTAAACGTACTACCAAACAAAAAAAAATTATGCGTTTTTATAGAAGAAAACAAAATTCACATCCAGTGTCACCTCCCAGACTAGTCACGAGTACTATCGAAAAGTAACTTCTCTTCGTCATTTCCTTCTAAATTTGAAAAACTCCAAAACGTTTAGTACCGTAAAATTCCGAAAATAAGCCCCAGGGCTTATATTTTTCAAAGGCCCTTTTTGAGGGGCTTATTTTTGGAGGGGCTTATACTTGGAGGGGCCTATGTACGGAGGGAAATTTGCGTTTCAAAATCGATTGGGCTGGCTTGTAGTGAGAAGGAAATTTACCATTTTTGCTTTGTTTTACTTTGTATTCGAGGGCAAATTCCAAGTACAAGATCCCCCGGGGGTCTTATATTCGCAGGGGCGATTTAACGGAGGGTTTTTTGCGTTACGATTTTGGGGGGCTTATATTTGGAAAGGGCTTATACATGGAGGGGCTTATTTTCGGAATTTTACGGTATTCGACTCATGTCATACCCGCTAGTTGGTAAATATTTATTTACATTAAAGTTTCTCTTTCCGTGTTGTTATTTTTAGTTTGGTTCTCATCATTTCTGTTGCTTATAGGGCTGAGATTTATGGGGCTCAATGCGGGACTGCGAAGTGTTCTCTCCGTGACACTGTTAGAAGGTACCCCCATCTTTCGGCAGATAAAGCTTTTGAAACTTTGACGAAACTCTTCACTAACCACAGAATAAATAAAAAAGTTCGCTGAGGAGTTTGTGATGACGCAAATCACACATACATTGTAGTAAACCCAAAAGTATTTGTGCAAGGTAAATTCTTTCCAGTACAAAAAAACGAGACGGAAAACATTTAGGGGTAGCATGGTGACAGCAAAGACTAAAACTACTGGGGTCAAAAGCTTTTTTGCTTTGCTATTTTGTCGTTCACGTAGTCTTTTCCGAGCACGCTTCTCCGTTTCTCGCCCTCCGTCATCCCTTATCGATTTGTTAAACCTCGTACTGGTACGAAGCTTTCGCGTAATGCTAACGAAGGTTACAGTAACAATCGCAAGTGGTAGAACATACCAGAAGATAGTCAAACCAATGATGTAAATCTGTCTCATTTCGTCTTCTTCCTCCTTGTTTGGCCATTTGGGAGAACATTCAACTATGTTGACGACAGGACGATGATCGGTGAAGTTCATGACGAAATACAGCGGTAGCGAGATAATTAAAAATGAAATCATCCAAACGCTAGCCACCATCCGACGCGCTGACTTGAACACGGTAGATCCGCGCTTGGGAAGGGCTCCCCGTACTATGGCTCTGTGGCGATCAACAGCGATGAGGGCGATCGACCAAACGGATACGCCAAAAAATATATCAGACAGGGGGAATATATACCGACAGAAAAATTCCCCTAGGGGCCAATGAGAAGGTACTTGTTCCATGATAACTGCTAAAGGGAACGATAGAATTAGAATCCCAAGATCTGCTATGGCGAGGTTTCTGATGAAGTAGTTGATAGTAGTATGCATCTGGGGCTGAAAGGTGATGACGAGGCATACTATCGCATTGCCTGCTACGCCGACAGAGGCGAGAAGAACTTGAAATATCAGACGAAGAACTTGCAATGAGTGTGCCTCTTTGTAAAATTGGAAGTCGTTCCCATTTCCAACTATTTCCGAGCCCAAGGAGTTGGTGTGATTGCCAGTCGAGTTCATTTTTTTGAACAGGAAAGTTTAATAAGATCGATCTTGGCTTGAAACTGACTAAACGCCTCCCAAGTCGTAGTTGTCCCTCTGTAGTGGCAACAATTATGATCTCCGTTTTTAGGTTAACAATGTCCTGTTTCCAGATTCAGACTTAACTAAAGCTTTGATGATCAAGTTTCAAAAGGGCAAGAAAACGTCCTTCTTCAGTGTTATGTCGTTTTGACCCAAGCCTAGAATCCCANCGTTTATCCGTTATCTTTTGCATACGAAAACCCCTAGCAACTATACCACGTGCCTTTTTCTTTTTTTTATCGGCTGAACAAAGAAGCACGCATTTCAGTGAAAGAAAGCGTTTTAATGAACTTGGTATAAACACTTGCTTGTTTTAGCATGCAAGTGAAGACAGGTTCTTGTGGTAGGTAGATCGGCCCCGCGTTAAGCATCCATTTTTTCCTATTTAATACAACGTACACTGTTGATTACGGCAAAAGGCAAAATTCACGCTGCGCATTAATTGATATTTTCCCTTTAGTTTCTGGTCTTCATGAGCTTTGGACGCGGAGCACCGCATGAGAAGAATTTAGACCGGCGTAAAATTGGCAAAAGTAGCCTGTTGGGATCTATTTAGTTATACCTTAAGAGCCACACTTAATTGGCTTAATTTAATACACTCGCAAAGTGAAGTGAAAAATATCTTGAAATAGGCGACCTCTCAAACTACTTGTAGAAGTAACAACTAAACGTGCGTCTCACAATTTGAGATCAATCCAAGATTTATCTCGCTCGGTCAGTGAGTGACTTAGGCTTATTTCTATTAAGGTCAACGTGACTTGTACTCATATCCCAAGGCATCCATTTTAGTCGCTTTACATTTGCTGTGTCCAACAGCACAGAGAAAAATCGCGATGAGCAGCAGATAGTGTTATCATTAGACACCATCTTCGTGTTCGTGGGCGTAAAGTTAAAAAATGGATTTTTATTGGAATTTTCGCTCTAGACTTTCAACAAGCTCTCGCTAAAAATTGTCTACAAATAAATCCAATTATTTCTGAACAGAATACCCATTAACTTAGCGATTTTCTTCTTTTTTGGTCATTTTACGGTACAATCACTTTTTAATATCTAGGGCTTGTGATAACTTTTTCATGCGTAAGATGTTTAAATGTTAATAGTCTCCATTACAAAGCCTTTTCAATGATGAATGAAGCAACCTGCCTAGAACTGAGTTATAGTGCAATCTATTTTTTCTAAAAGAATCGAAAAGCAGCTTTTTCATATCCAAAATACTACAAGCGGCAAGTTTTGCAGAAGTTTTTACTTTAACCCTCGCCAGAAGATTTTGCTGACCAGTTTCAGTAATTATAGGTTTACAGCGATTTCACAAAACGCAAAGTGCGCTCACACTGTAGTGACTTTCATTCTTAAACGATTAAGCTATCTGTATTTGACTGTACAAGGAAAACCTTCATAGCAAAGACGTACTCCCATAGCATATAAGCCGATAGATTTCGTGTTTAAAAAATAAATAAATAAAAAATAAAATTTTGCTGTTTTTCGCGGTCCCGTCTACACCTGTGGCATGACTTGCATTAACTGTTGATATGGACTCCACTTGTTTCTACTCTACAGGGATACTGTGCGATTGCTGTTAGTTAAGGTAATTGGATCGGTTTATGGCTTTCAGTTGACGTAAATCATCATTATGATTAGTAGTAATTAGAAAAGAGTAACTTTAATTATCCAGAGTGGCTTATTTAGCTATATGACAAATATCCATGGGGGCTCTAAGTTGTGACGTCATATCACCTTACATGGAGAACGCAACCTGCAAACGGGAATGCAACCGAACCGCAACGCTTCACTGTAGCTAGTTTTTTTCTTCCCGTCTTTGAAATAAAATAATTGCGCACAAACTTTTTCAACTTGCTCAATTTTAATTCAAATTTATTTCCAGGTGACCACATTTGACAAAACTCGTCTAGAAGGCGACGGTTATAGGAAAATTGAAAAGACAGATTAAGCGCAACGAAATCAGCTACAAATTACCCCAAAGAGTGTAATACCGGGGTAAAAGTTCGTAGGTTTTAGGACAGGAATTTCAGTTGAACAATATACCATTTATTTGGGTTTTCGTAGATAACACGTGTGGACTCCATTGTTCTTCTTTTGTCCATGCATTGAGGCCCGCAAAGATACTTTAGTGGAAAAAGAGAGGCCGACAAAAGATTCTCTCGTCTTATTTCCGAACATTTAGCTCACCAGATGTTCTGAATGAACACTTGGCGATCAAATATGAAATAAACTCTTTCCCAGCAAAATATTCTTATTATTTGATAACACTAGAATTAATTAGTAGTGCCCCATAACTCACATGATCAGTCAAGGGGTCTTAACAAATTATTTTGCCATAGACTCAAAATTGAGAAACGCGCTGGACTTGACACTTGTAAGTGTCTCAAGCGAAAGGGCCGGTTATTAAAACAGAGTTTCGCCCCAAGTGTTGTTTAAAAAACACTGCTTACTCAGCCTCTTGAAGTCATCAACCTTGGAATCAAAACATTGTTTACGGTGAACATTGCAAAGCGTCAAAAAGCGGAGACTAGAAAGTGATTGATCTACTTAAAATATCTTCGGAAAATAATCCACTTATTAATAGATGTGGGGTTTAGTCATTGTCTTAAATAGTGGTCTAAGCTGAACCAGGTTCGTGGTCTAACTTAACAATAAAGCACATACGGACCTAAGTTAAATTGACGAGTTTCTAGAAACAAAAACATTTCTCTGCAGTGGTTACTTAGGAGACAGGTGTGTGGCTATGATTAGCTATATTCCGTGTTTCACTCCACGTGTCGTTACAAAATAGAGCCACCAGGGTTTTGGAGAACAGCTGTGTTAGACCTGATAGCTCAATTTGCTTACAATGCAATCATGACCCAGTTTTGGCGAAGTTGGTGGGGTCGATTACGTGCCTTTCACAAACTCGTTCCCAGAGCCTCCTCTCCTCTTACATATTCCGGCAAGAAAGGTCTGAATCGGACAGTGACTTTGTCACTCCAGCTCAAAAAAAAGATAAGTATTATTCGACGGCGCTTCTTTGTTGATCACTATTTTTTTATTATTAATGTTTTTTTTTTAAGTCCACAGAAAGTACTTTCTGTCGTTTATGGTTTTATTGCAGGAAAGCGGCTCGAATTTATTAACATTATCAAGACAACATTTAAATGAAGCTTAAGTTCTATCCCCAGTAGCTCCTCTTACTTTCCCAGATCTGTTGACAAGAACAAGAGCACTGATTTAAAAGCAGTAGAGCTCGTAACGTAACGATCGATGTTTTCTATCAGTAACGTTTTACTTATCCTCAGTAAGGAGCAGCCATAATACGGGTCCGGGTTGTTCAAAGCTGGGTTAAAATAACCCAGGGTTAGTGCGAAATTTGAAATCAGATTTGAATGCTTAAAAAGTACATTCAGTTTAATTCTTTCTGTCAATAAGTTGATGATTGGGTGCTCTTAGAAATAAAGAGAAAATTGTCTGAGAAAATGCTTTTGAACAAAGGAAAAAGAATCCCTGGTTAAATTTAACCCTGGGTTAGGCGCTAATCCGCCTTCGAACAACTGGGCCCAGTTCTATAGATTTGGGTACGGCAAAATGTAGTTTGTTCACCCAGTCAACCAGTTCGATACTCCAATGTGCCTAGCCTTCCGAGCGGGCTTGAACTGTTCAATGACCAACCATGTGACTCATCTAGTGACCTGGAGTCTAGTGATGTTGCGTCACGCCTTCATTACATTGTATTATAGTACGTCACCATATGTTTGGTAGGTAAGTCTCTCTCTCCATAATGATCAGCATAACTCCCTTCAGTAAATGTGACAGGTAGCTATGGTTTGTTACCATTGGTAGACAATTCTAGATATGCGTCTTGCTCTAGTGCAACGGAGCAATTATCTATGATTGGCCAGAACGCCACTTGAATGATCCTTGAGGACCTTTAGGCTTGGTTCGCAGGGGAGACACAAATTCTGGCTCCCTGTCGAAAAATAGAAATCAATTTTCGGTTGTTCATTAAGGGATCAGCTTTTCAATCAGACATAACACTTTTTCCGGGGAATAAGAGCAAGTAGGATAACCAACTTTACGTACCTCTTTTCAGGCTCATCACGTGATGAAAGTTCTTGATCGGCATTGGTTGAACCCTGACACGCTAATCCAAGGATTAAGGCTGTTAATGTGATGGCAAGGTCGGACGAGCCTGACTGTGTAACATGCCCCAATCTATTATACCAACTGGGGCTGTAACTCGAAACAGCTGGGAAAAAAATCAATGTGCCCTAACGTTATCTTAAAGTCGTCACCAGTATAAACAAAAATGAAAAGTAAATCATTGCTTGTAAAGACAGAAATAAGTAGTAAAACAAATACGGTGTGTGTCAAGAGTTTGACTAGGATGGGCTCATAATGATGCCACGTCCACTGGCAGAAGTCAGTTGAGGAGTAGCAGATATAAAGGGAGAAAACTGAGTAGAANGACCTTTAGGCTTGGTTCGCAGGGGAGACACAAATTCTGGCTCCCTGTCGAAAAATAGAAATCAATTTTCGGTTGTTCATTAAGGGATCAGCTTTTCAATCAGACATAACACTTTTTCCGGGGAATAAGAGCAAGTAGGATAACCAACTTTACGTACCTCTTTTCAGGCTCATCACGTGATGAAAGTTCTTGATCGGCATTGGTTGAACCCTGACACGCTAATCCAAGGATTAAGGCTGTTAATGTGATGGCAAGGTCGGACGAGCCTGACTGTGTAACATGCCCCAATCTATTATACCAACTGGGGCTGTAACTCGAAACAGCTGGGAAAAAAATCAATGTGCCCTAACGTTATCTTAAAGTCGTCACCAGTATAAACAAAAATGAAAAGTAAATCATTGCTTGTAAAGACAGAAATAAGTAGTAAAACAAATACGGTGTGTGTCAAGAGTTTGACTAGGATGGGCTCATAATGATGCCACGTCCACTGGCAGAAGTCAGTTGAGGAGTAGCAGATATAAAGGGAGAAAACTGAGTAGAAAGTCGGGAATTTGAATTTGAATTTGAAGGAAATAGGAGAACGGTTGATTAGAAGAGTACTTATACATATAGAAATTACCTTTCTTCACTACCTCCACCCCCCCTCCCCCCCACCAAAAAAAAAGAAAGAAACTACATATACTGAAGTAAAAGTTAGGCTGAGACATCTGTTGTAGGGGGGCGAGGTTTTCTAAGCCTGAGAGGGTAGGCGAGATAGTGATTTCTGCGATATTTCTCTCTCCTAGTCCGTTATAGATTTAGGACAGTTACTTAAAAGTGAAACTATCCACCTTCCCAAAATCAGGTCCTTGACCGGTCTGTTATTTCCGGAATTATACAGCTCATGCAAAAATAAAGCTAAAAACTGGAGATGGCATTTGGTTGTCATAACAACAAAAACAAAAAAGACGGAAATGATATATTTAGACTAACTTTTCTCTTCCAGCAAAGATATAAACAAATTTGGGTTTATACAAACCTGGTCTGTTAAGTTCCTCAAATATTCTTACACCGTCGACTAAACTTGCTCCTAAAGATGATGAAGATTTCTGTTGTGTTTCATGAGGCTTACGGGCGGCATTTGCTGAGTTACTCTTCTCAATCTTCTCTTCTAATAACAAAAGTGACAGTNAAACAAATACGGTGTGTGTCAAGAGTTTGACTAGGATGGGCTCATAATGATGCCACGTCCACTGGCAGAAGTCAGTTGAGGAGTAGCAGATATAAAGGGAGAAAACTGAGTAGAAAGTCGGGAATTTGAATTTGAATTTGAAGGAAATAGGAGAACGGTTGATTAGAAGAGTACTTATACATATAGAAATTACCTTTCTTCACTACCTCCACCCCCCCTCCCCCCCACCAAAAAAAAAGAAAGAAACTACATATACTGAAGTAAAAGTTAGGCTGAGACATCTGTTGTAGGGGGGCGAGGTTTTCTAAGCCTGAGAGGGTAGGCGAGATAGTGAAGAGTACTTATACATATAGAAATTACCTTTCTTCACTACCTCCACCCCCCCTCCCCCCCACCAAAAAAAAGAAAGAAACTACATATACTGAAGTAAAAGTTAGGCTGAGACATCTGTTGTAGGGGGGCGAGGTTTTCTAAGCCTGAGAGGGTAGGCGAGATAGTGATTTCTGCGATATTTCTCTCTCCTAGTCCGTTATAGATTTAGGACAGTTACTTAAAAGTGAAACTATCCACCTTCCCAAAATCAGGTCCTTGACCGGTCTGTTATTTCCGGAATTATACAGCTCATGCAAAAATAAAGCTAAAAACTGGAGATGGCATTTGGTTGTCATAACAACAAAAACAAAAAAGACGGAAATGATATATTTAGACTAACTTTTCTCTTCCAGCAAAGATATAAACAAATTTGGGTTTATACAAACCTGGTCTGTTAAGTTCCTCAAATATTCTTACACCGTCGACTAAACTTGCTCCTAAAGATGATGAAGATTTCTGTTGTGTTTCATGAGGCTTACGGGCGGCATTTGCTGAGTTACTCTTCTCGATCTTCTCTTCTAATAACAAAAGTGACAGTGATATGACAAAACCACAACGAAACATTTAATTTAAGCAAACTAATTATAGATTAAAGAAGTTCGGAAGATTCTTTTATCAAGTGACGGTCAATAATCGAGGGTCTCCAATAGAGTTTTTCTATCCCGTGATCCCTACCCCAAATTTCGGGCAATCCCGTAATCCCGAGGGTTACTTTTGGCATCCCACCTCCCGCGCATACTTTAAATCTCGAATCTCGCTCCGATTTCCCTTTAAAATCCCGAATCCCGAGCCTCAAATAAGGGAAATCCCGCATACCGAAAAACTTATTGGAGACCCTCATAATCGTGTCTTGACTCGGGCCGTATCAGGTTGACATGTCATAACAGCTCGACAGGCTTGAGGTGGTTCGTCACTCAATATTTTTTTCTCATTTTTTCAGCTAAATATGAAATAGATACTGAGCATTTTAGGAACCTTTCTTGGTATATGATTCTTCCTCTTTTGCAATAAAGCTAAACATCTCCTGAATTTGTGCTGCTGCTTCTTCTTGTGCCTGTTAAAGAACACAGTCATCGTTTACTAAACTTGGCGTTCACTACAAACATAAACACTGTAAACAAAAAGAGGGCAATACTAACAAAGTTGCAAAATCATCATTTTAAGTTATCATGCTTTAACTATCATAATTTTTATACCTTCTTTAATTTTTCTTCGTGTTCCTTCTGCTGTCTTTCTCGCTTTAATCTTTGCTGTCTTTCTTGCTCTGCCCTCTGATTATCTTCACGCATGCGCCGGAACTTAGCATATACAGCTCTTGCTTTCACAGTAGCCTGGAGTCTAGTTATTCCCTTCACAACCTTTAGGGAACAGAACGATTATATCATTGATTTTTTTGGTAGCTTATACAAAACCCTCTTCTCGGGGATAATCATGAAATTCGTATTAACACTACAGCGTATACGGCATAATTGTATGTTAGCGTGCTGGTTATGAAACCATACAGGGCTCAGTTCCTGAAAGGTTGATTAGAGCTGATCGAGAAGTAAATTTTGATTAATCCACAAATGTATGTATGACCTTCCTGAAGATTGCTTGATAAGGACTGAGTGGAGTGCAATTTGGCCTAAAATCATTTGCGTGGTTCATGTTTAAAATCGGAAAGAAGGGGAATCCACTTTATAGGCTGATAGGAGAATGTTTTTGCTGCTATCGCGTCATGGTATCTTGAAATCCCTGAAAAGGGTAGGCTTCTTAGTTACTCGTTGGTAATTGATTGAGATTTGTCAATCACATAACAGTAAAGTTACAGACAGACCTTTTGATAAGTTTTCTCATCACGATGTCTTCTCCAAGTCTTCTGAATCATCACAGCCGCACGTGACTGTTTGCGATGTTTTGTTCCATGCAAAAACCTCTTAATTGATCTTTGAAGTACAATTACTGCATTGGTCAATAATGCATCACGCGCTTGTTCTAGGACGTCACCGTGGTGATCCTGTAAACAAAAATGACATGTTTGGCCTTAAATACCCCATAAGAGTAGAGGAAACGCTTCAGTAACTGCTAATTGGAATAAACAGGATGGTTCAGTTGATCAAAGAAATGGATCCCTGAAGAGAAAGACAAATTTTATCTTGGTAAACTGATGATTTGAACACTCTAAGGCAGCCAAAGTCCCTGCTAAACCAAGAAAGCTTGTTTATTTATGAGTTAATGAGTCATAGGTCAAGCTTATGAAACAGCTTGAGTCAAGCACTGACTCAAGCTGGGTCAAGCACTGAAAATAGTGATCAGGTTTAAGCACTGAAAATGGCAATTAAAGTTGAACACAGACAGTAGAGATTAGGGTTTAAGCACGACTGTGGTGATTACGGTTTAGAACTGACTACAGTAGTATAAAGGGTTAACAACGCCCTGACTCAAAATGGTTAACATTTATTCAGTTTTAGGTTTGTCACTATATGCAGAGGCGGATCTAGGGGGAGGGTGCAGGGGGTGCGCACCCCCCTCCCCCTGAGATGACCTGCGGTCTTCTAATACAACTGGTATTCTGCCCCCCAAAAAACTATGTGGTTTATTGGTGTTGAAGTAGAGCAAGAGACGAGTGCACCCCCTCCTATAAAAAATCCTGGATCCGCCCTAGATATGTACCGTTTGTATTATCAGAACAGTTACTGGGAGTAATTCCGAGGGATTCATGATCAAACGTTTTTACTTACTTGACTCAAGATATATTTACACTGTATGTATAATTTTCAGTTGAACATTCTTTCATTTAACAGAGTGAAATTGCACCAGTTATAAGATAGGCAAAAAATTGTTTGGATCAGTATAAGATTCTGGGAAACTTCTTAACTACCTCTCCCCTAACTCAACGCTAACACGAACTTCTCACTATAAGCACTGCTGTGACTAAAATGTTGGGTTAAGGGAGAATATTTAATCAGACTATAGTGATTAACCCACCTTTAAGAATATCATTCGATTTCCTATTGTCCATTCAACATCAGGAAGAAGTCTTTTAGCTAATGTCTCTGACATCTCCCGTGGATCAGTTCGAGGTATCTTTAAATCCTTCATAATGACATAATATCTGTTTATGAATTCCTCAAAAGTATAACGAATAGCAAAACCAGCTTTGCGAATCCTGTAAGTTAAAAACATAATTCCAATTATTTATGTCTTTGTTTAAAGCTAACCGTTAAACTTAAGAATTATTATTTTCGACGAAACGCTGCTTTGAAGTGGGACTTGGTAAATTCAAACCTGGAGCTTGGTCTTGACGATAATGTCGGTGTTGAGCTTAAGAGTTTCAATGAAGGCGATGGTGAAGCCGCCATCTTGAAAAGTGAAAAAACAGCTCACGACTTCTCACGACGTACGACGTCGCTTAAAGGACTGGGAATGGTATCATGAGTGGCTCCCATTCTCCCCGATTAACCTGGTAATTTTTGGAAATGAATGTATTTTTAGCTGGAGATTCCTGTAATAGTTTCCTGACTCTAAATAATCTTAAGGATAACTTGACATATTTTTCCTGTTTAATTTCAACCCATACTAGCAGTCGTCTCAGTGCAGGAGGGTAATTTATTTAAAATAATAATAATATTAATAATATTAANTCTCCCGTGGATCAGTTCGAGGTATCTTTAAATCCTTCATAATGACATAATATCTGTTTATGAATTCCTCAAAAGTATAACGAATAGCAAAACCAGCTTTGCGAATCCTGTAAGTTAAAAACATAATTCCAATTATTTATGTCTTTGTTTAAAGCTAACCGTTAAACTTAAGAATTATTATTTTCGACGAAACGCTGCTTTGAAGTGGGACTTGGTAAATTCAAACCTGGAGCTTGGTCTTGACGATAATGTCGGTGTTGAGCTTAAGAGTTTCAATGAAGGCGATGGTGAAGCCGCCATCTTGAAAAGTGAAAAAACAGCTCACGACTTCTCACGACGTACGACGTCGCTTAAAGGACTGGGAATGGTATCATGAGTGGCTCCCATTCTCCCCGATTAACCTGGTAATTTTTGGAAATGAATGTATTTTTAGCTGGAGATTCCTGTAATAGTTTCCTGACTCTAAATAATCTTAAGGATAACTTGACATATTTTTCCTGTTTAATTTCAACCCATACTAGCAGTCGTCTCAGTGCAGGAGGGTAATTTATTTAAAATAATAATAATATTAATAATATTAATTTTTATAATAACCAATGAGGTCCCGCAAAGGGTAGCCTCCCCGCATTTGTCACGCATTTTATTTCTCCGTGGGGGAGAAATGAATGCGTGACAAACGAACCCCAAAGGACGTCTGCGGGGAGGCTACGCAAAGGGTAGCAAAAATGATTTTTTGTCAATCATTTAACGAGTTTAGTTTCTTACTTGACAGTTTCTAACATTCCTGAGTATTTCAGTTGCTGCCAGCACAAATGACGATCAAATATCTGGATTTGGAAGGGAAACAGGTTTCAATGAATTCATAAGTATGTCAAGGGGGCCTTTTCTCCCGAGAGACATGAATTGCAAAGTACTCTGCATGTTTTATTCTTACATGAATAGATTCTTATATACAATCAATTTGAATCCGTAAAAACAAAATCCCCTTGTCTCTTGATCTCTTGTGGAGGGGGTCGAACACCCTAGCTGGACTTCCCTTTAGGGAGTGAAAGCCAGAAATGCTGAGGGAAATGCTCCCACGCACCTTTGCACCTGGTTAAAGCAGCTTTAGGTTGATTCAGTTTGGTTAGATTGTATGTACCTATCTATTAGCGCTTTCAGTAGGATATAAGGTGGCAAAAGCGGAATTAAGATGAAATGCAACCACAAAAGGGGATCATGCCCTAAGTTGACGATGTAGAAGTCACTATTTTCAGGACAATTGGTGACATACCATGGCTCTCTTTAGTTCATTGGGTTTAATACAGCGAACAAAAGACGGTTCACAGTTTAATAACATCTTCATCAAGACATCTAGAGATCTTCTGAACTGTGCACTCAATGTTGGTGATCGCTTCCTAGTTTCTTCGCCCTAGAAAAAAAAATATCGATATGACCCGTGTCTTAAAGTTATCCATTTTAAGGTTTCATTAGAACTCAGTCCTGACTAAATTAAATGGACCAGGTATAAAAATGTTTCGGGCTGGTCAAAGTCACTTGCATATCGCTTAGACTACAACTTTTGAAAAACGTATCTAAATGTAATAATCCACTTGTGAACCGCATGCATGAAGGTCCAATAACTGTTACAAATCCCGGCTGGGATAACTTAGACCTCGTTCAAATATTAAACCATACCTAAGTATAATTACAAATCAATTTCACGGTCTTTGAATTTTCTCATTTCAAATCAGCGGTTGTGAAGAGTGTAGCTTGAGTACAGCTCCCCCCTCTTCTCAAGAAGGGGTCCGTGCTGTACACGGGCCAGAGACAGTGAAGAGCCACGGAGGAAAAATAGCGCCTTAATTTGTACCAATAAGAGTGTCCCGGCCAGTGAACATTTTATTTTAACGTTTACATTCTAATAGAACAGAGAGACGCGGCCCTTTTGCTTCGAAAGAACATAAAATCATGACTAATAATTACCATGGACATTTCCCTGGCGAACAGGTCAAAAAGGAACTCCATTTTACTTTCACAGACGAGCCCAACAAGATCAGCACTGAAGGTATCTCTATTTTTGTCCAGAATGCCTATGAAGATGCAGATATTAAGATATAAAAGGTTGCGGACATTCGCATAAATCTTATATCAGAATAAGCAAATTCTTATTCCCTTCGGCTTAGAAAAACAAAGCCAGGAAGGTCAGCAGGCAAACATAACTCTTACAAAAACCTCAGACCTTTTTAAACTGTCATTGAACTTGTTCGGTGCTACAAAAAGACGTAAAAAACCAAGGTTTACTATGCACTCACACCACTGGAAAAGTTAAAGGAGGTTCATTAGATTCATTGTTTAACCTCCTAAGCCAGTGGGCTGGCTGCTAACATTTCGGAGTTCGCGAGTGAAATAAAGGATTCCTCAACTGCGTCACCTGTAACGTCGTACTCAATTATTCCAGCGAAGTGAACCACGCCAAACGAAGCTCTGGAGCGAGACTTGGATTTAAAAAGGCAGCTACTTTTAACATGATGTGCAGTCAATTTATGCAAAAACGATTCATCGTTTCCCTGTAAAAATAAAGGAAGCAGAAATAGTGAATTTGAATAAACAAGTCCTTCACAGCCGAGAGAAGCTTAGTATTAACTTGAACTAAATATATTTTTTGGAGAAAGACAAAAACAAATTAAATTAAAGCAGACAGAGAGAGAGAGTCAAAGAAATTCGTGTTCCAAGTGAACTGTACTCTATTTTTTCTGAATAGGAATAACATTACTATGAAAGTGAAGTGTATGAGGTCTTACGTAATTACGATAATTGTAATCCGACTAGTCAGTAATATCACCAGTGAATGTCGCTCTAGAATTGTGCAACGTTCGGTTAGTGTAGCTTGATTGCGTTCTCAAGATGTGAAAATTCATGTTTTAAACGCTTTCTGATTACAAAATATAGAAAACCTCACATGAGTGATAGCCACGAGCTATCGCGAGCCTTGGTCGGTTTGGGATTAGCCTCAGAACGCAGACGTATTTCCGGTCGTAAAGCGTTCGCATGCTAGTGTGGGATTCTTATTCAAGGGATAGATTGTGCCTTACATTCATATTCCGGACGAAACAGATTATTGACTTATTACATAAGCGCCGACAGCATCTATACCTGAGGGAATCTGCTCTCTTCGTCCATAAGAGCAAAGCAGTTTAGAGGTTTATTTGCCAAGGTTTCCACAACTTCTTGATTGTCAACAAAGTCCACAGGACTCCAATCCAGTCCTTCGCGACTATACTCAGCCTACACCGAACAGAAAACACAGTGGGTCATTCCATTAGGAATCAAGCACTGCAAATGCCCTACATACTAAAAATTGTGGAAGGTTTGAACCCAGGAGTCATTTCAAAAGGTTGAGTTTGATCGTCCGGGTGAACGTAGTCCTGAATAGGACTGTTGTTGTTGGCAGTGACTGACGTTTCGACAACCTGTGCGGTAGTCATCTTCAGAGTCAAAGTGAGTTGTGTCACGTCAGTTGATGGTATTATACTCTGGTTACAGATCAATAACCAGAGTATCGACAACCTTTCTTGGAATAGCTGTATCGTCTGAGCCTCCATTTTATCACCATACCAGTCTCTAGATTCCAGACTTTCTCACTCACCTGCTCCATCTTGAAAACGTGGTCCACGAAGAAACTGTGAAGCTTTTCATTTGCATAATTGATGCACAGCTGTTCAAAACTGGAAGAGAAAATATATGTTAGGGCTCCTGGTTAGGGTGGATTTCCTCCTCGCTCAAATTTTACGTTTACGGGAGACACTCCATAGATGGCCCCTATTTTATTTACGTGCGTACTCAGGTCAAAATTAAACGACAATGGAAATCCACGTTTAGTTAGATGGATTGGGCTACAACCAGTCGTCACTGAAGGCGCGGAGGCACGTATCTGTTTGTAACGTAAGTCTTTAATCAAGTAACTATAACTTATAATTACCACAGAACTTAATAGTTTGAGCCCATTATCCCCAGGCGGTTTGCTTGTCACTCTAGTTTCTGTTCATCTTTTAATTTAGGTATGATTTAGAAGAACTATTTCCCTGCTCAAGATAATAGCGTCAAAGTTGTCGATGACAGTTAAAAGTGGTGAATTGGCCAGTGTGGTTCAATTTCAGAATGAGAGCGGGCGGATTCGGGTGGAAGTGGATTAAAAGCCGTTACAAAGCTTGACGTGTAATAGTCACAGATAGATTTATAAAACAGCTTAATTTGGCGGTTTGTACGAAATCAAACTGCATAGACACAAGACGACGAAAATAAAGCTTCTGGCGAGAAATAAACACATCACTACTGGTTCAAAACTGGGAAAACAGTTGTTCAATCTACATAACCAATGATAATTGATAAATCAATAAAGCAATAAATTAATTTCTCACCTGTTAACTTCAAAGTTTTCAAAACCGAAAATATCGAGAACACCAAGACATACTCGACCTTCGAGCTCTGAATCAGCCTTAAAATAAAAAATAAAATAGATGAAGCAGATTCCAGGATTACTGCCTGATACACTGCCAATAACCTCTAAAGTACGAACATCTCCCTACTGGAGTTGATCCTCGCCTTTTTCATACATTTTTGTTCACACTCTTTTTAGTTAGACATCTCGGCTTGAGACGAACTCTCAGCATCAGTCCCAATGATTCTCACTAAGAGAGAGATGACTGAGGGTCCCCAATCCATGATTGGTTCTTCAATCCCGCCCGGTTCAGTGCTCAAACAAGTAATCCTGATGGTTATTTTTGGCATCCAACATCCCGTGCATAGTTTCAATCCCGAATCTCGCCCCCATTTTCCTATGAAATCCCGAATCCCGCCGATCACGATAGGTTAATAATGTTTTCAAGGTGATAGTAAATCTGTTGTTACTATTAGTGACCAGGGGTGTGGCATACATTGCTTTTTTATCGTGGGCACGGGTTTTGAGACACTGTGGGCCTCCTCGATCAGTGTGTTTGTGTGCTCATGTAGCTACTTAGACAAGAAGATACAAAAAATACTCACTGTATGTTTTACGCTTATAGACGAGTTGATCTTGCTTACAATCCAGATGAACAGTCGTCCATAAATTCCCTTTACAAACGCATCTCTAATATGCCTGGCGCTTTCCACTCCAATAGGAGAGTAGATAAGTTCTCCAGAGGCATATGTTGATTTACTTGTAAACGCCTTGTGGAATTCCTCCGTGGGAATCTATAATCGATAAAATTGCCGGTTTTTTAGAAATAATTTGGATAATTAATAAGGGTAGCAAGTTCTTAGTTCGTCAACAGCCTATTCAGCTACCCGAACTCCCTTATATATCCTTAATTTGCAGCAAGGAATAAAGAACACAGGCGTAGAAGCAATTTGACTGTGAAAGCGCTGTATCTATCTAAAAACGTATGCTATTAATCGATGTATGATCTAAAAGGTATCGGATAGTTCTCCCTGCATGGTACACTGCCCGAGCGCATGATAACCCTGGAGTCATGTAGCTAATACGTTTTTACGTATTAAAGGTAGGAAAAAAGACAAGGTGTTGTAACCGGGTATGTACTGTATATTATGTATACTATAGCTCCCTTCACCGTCTTGAGACCACATAGAGCATCCACTACTACTTACCTGTAAGAGATGAGCCACCGAGTCAACGCTGTCCTCATTTAAAATTGCACAAGCCTCCATGTTGTCTTGAATCAAAGCTGTACATCACGAAAAATAATTAAAAGACAGATTTAAAAAATTGTTTTTAAAAATTTCAGACGAACGTGACAGCGACAACTCAGAAAAGGCCATAGAAAACAGTTCTTGCTTTTGGCCTTCTTTTAATTTAAAGTGAGACGTAATTGGAACGCTAAGTGACTTATTGTTATAGCCTCTGATGGATAATTACGAGGAAGCTGGAGAAAATTTCACCGAGAGGTGTTGAAACATCTTGGCTTATTATTCTGAGACGTATTGGAAAAAAATCCCACGTACGTTGACCATAAATTGTCTTTAAATTGTATTGAGCTCTTCTTTTTTGGTAAGATAAACTAACTGCAAACACGTGCGGCGCAGAAGCTTATCTTTAGCTGTAGAGAAGCAATGCGTCAGAGCCGTTCACATTTATGAATAATTTTTTGTTACTCCTTTTTCTCTTGCGTTTTACCTTCAAAGCGCAAATTTCCAAGATGAAGAACCGCTGCTAACAGAGTGAATAATATCCAAGTGTCTTTTTCGGAAAACATTAACACCTGAGAATATAAAAACACACACATATAAATCACCACTGGATGCATTCAATAACAAAATAACTGACTCCTCCGATAAGGTGGATTTCCACTGTCCCGTAATTTTTAAGTGCGTACGTACGTACATTTTACGCGCTTAAATACTGAGGCTAGGCCAAGTCACTAAAGTAGAGACTAAGGGCGGATTTCCACTGTCGCGTAATTTTTACGTGCAGCGTACGCGCGTAAAATTTACGTTCGCAAATAAATTAGCGCCGATGTATGAAAGGCCGCGCGTAAACGTAAAAGTTGAGCGATCGAGGTTCGACTTTTACGTTTACGAGCGGCCTTTCATGCATTGCTTCATTATTTTCGCACGTAAAATTACGCGACAGTAGAAATCCTCCCTCCTAGTCTCTACTTTGAGTGGCTTGGCCGAGCCACACAGAGTTATCACCCAAATGGTCAAACAACATATTAAGTTTCTTTCGTTTTGCCCCTTTCCCTACCATCTATATGGTTTTTAATGATTTCCTCTTCACCTTCATCCCTAAAATAGTAACCCATACTGCGTATCTACCTGTGCGCTTAATGCTGAAGGTTTTGGAGCACATGATCTCCTATACCAAATTGATTCAAACCAGCACCAACGCGACCACGCCCTTCCATCTCTCCTCCCTTTCGCCGATACGGGGGTCGTTTGTATTTAACTCTCTTTTATGATGTCAATAATATTCAGATGTGATTACCTTCATTGCTCTTCGAATATTTGCAAATTCTTTTTCATCATCCATCCCGTCACATGTAAAACAGTTCCCCTGGGAGAGGTAGTGATAATCTTCTGCCACCGTCAGGTGGAGGCTGTTCTTTTCCTCCTTGTCCAAACCGGCAAGCAGACGGTAAAAGATGTGATAATTGCGCTCATCTGGCATCTAACGGGAGGAAGGAAATCACATACCTTTTAAAATTGGTTTGTCTACTCCATAGAGCAAATTCTCCCCCACCCCCACCTTGTTTTTCACGCACCATCAATGCAAAAGGCCTAGGGAAATTTCCCTTGAAACGTCTTATACCTTGAAAAGTCAAGCAAAATAAGCGAAAGCTTATGATTAGCAATGTCTACTCATGAATGTTTCTCGTGCTTTAAAAAAAAATATGTAGGTGGCTATGGGCTTAGAGCTTATATTATTTTTAGAAACCGAAATACGCATTAATTGGAGAAAAGGATGGTCACCCGTGACTGAGACACGCCTTTCTCCCGCCTTTTGGAAACTCTTTTCACCTGCGAAGTCAGTGTCAATATGTACGAGGTATTGCCATTGCTAAGGGCTGCACTAGAGGCAAGGAAGTACATACTTAGAGTGTAAGGTTCTTAGATTGGGTATCCCTTAGTCCTATAATGAACAACTGACAAACTGTCTTTAGTGTCATTATCTCGTCTGGAGAAACAAGAAAAATAGTTCTACCACCTTTACTGAAAAGATAAATCCCATCCATCATTCATTCACCTCAGTAGAGGTTTATTTTCTTGCTTTGATAAAAAACCTACCTGATATACGATTCTGGACTTCTCCAAGAGATACTGCTCAATTCTAGCCCCTTCAATGACCGCATGTCTGTTGAAGTAGATGTTGATGTACTTTCCAAACCGGCTTGAATTGTCATTTCGTACAGTTTTTGCATTGCCAAAAGCTGACAAATAAATATATAGAACTTCTATAAGAATATGACATGGTTAATTTCCAGTCTGGTTAACTCGTAAAAGATCAGTTAAATAATGTTATGAGTGAAAATTTAAACCTCGTGACTTGCATACCTTCCAAAATAGGATTTGCGTCAAGAATTTGTTGATCAAGTGTGGTGTGTTGTCCGCTGACCACTGTTAAGTAACGTAAAATTAACTTGGTGGATTCTGTTTTGCCTGCACCACTTTCACCGCTATGGAAGCGAAAAAAAAAAAAGTCAAGGTCAAAAATTTTCCACAGACAATGGAAAAATCTCCAAAATGTTTTCAACATCATTCGGCCTCAATAAGTCCGTTTAGTACTTCTAGTATCGGTCGTCTGTGAAATTGTTGCCACCATGCATATGAATCAAAAAATGCTTATCGTGTTTTTCATTGGAGCTTCAATCCGTATTAAACATTCGGACAAAGGCAGGTTATACTGAGTACAATTGAAGAGAATAAATTTTTGTGTTCTTTGCTCAGCTTGTTGCTTTTCCGTAGGCAACTTTCAGTAAATCTTTGGAAGAAAGATCTTGTATAAAGCGTTTCCCCTATGGGATAGAAGAACTTTTCTTTGTTTCTCATCTATTTTTGTCAGTCTTCAACACTTTTTTTGTGTATTTGATCTTTGGATCTCAGTTTTTTGTGATATGTACCCCACATCAGTCAATATATAAACATTTCTAATTGGTTACACTCGGTCAGTTGACTTGATGCATGTATCCCCTTCCCTTGGTTGCATTTCCGCCAGTTTCCGTAGATACTTAAAAAAAACTTTAAAGCAATTGAAAAACAGGCTATAGCCCTCAGATCAAAACTCTTGGGACACGAAAGCAACAGCTCTTAAAAATGATGCATTTTCTCTACCCCTCCCCGCCTTTGCAGTGTTGACATTACGAATTACAATCTTTCTCAACGCAATCAACATTGCTTGGGGGACAGTGGGCAGCAGAAATAAATTGGAATTCCCAAGCTTTTATAAGCCGGTTTAAGTAGAATACGAGTTAATTTTGCAAATTTCGTCTTCGCGCTTAATTTCCTCAAGTGTCCCAAGATGTTTCGACCATGCAGGGTTGTAGTACCGGAATGACTACAGTGCGGTCTATCAATTGCAAGGGAAACTGGGAGAAACGGATTACTGATAGTACAGCGTATTATCCCAGATTACTAATGGTGATTGGTGTATAGTTATTATATCGTACCTGATTATAATACTCTGGTTTTGGAGTCGTCTTTTCATGGAAATGAAGGCATGGTGTGCGGTAGAGAATATGTGGGGTGGTAGGTTGGTAACATCGGTTTCTTGATTATAAAGGTTTATGTGTTCTGCTCCATAGATCGGATAAAGATGGTAGGGATTAACGGCTACCAACACCTTCCCGATATGAGTCTAGAGAAGAGTAGGAAGCAAATACAGTCATGTCAAGAAGTACATGTACGGTAAAAACCCCGCATTTCCCCAAGTTAGCCTAAACTGAGGTTCTTACATAAATGACAAATTATAGGTTCTTATTTATTTTCTGAAGAAAAATACATTGTAGCTAAGAGTATTAAGTGCATGGTATTCAACTTATTCCTTATATAAAATCTGTATAACATTACATTGAAGTTGGTTTGATTAGACACATATTATGTTGATCCTGAATGTTGACTTATCTTCTTATCTTATTTGCCCGGTGTACATATTTTTTTTCTTAGGTTTTAAAAACTAAGAACTTGTTTCAAATCCTAGACGAAACAGGTTCTTGTATAGAGGGGGCCTATTCGCTTTCCCTTTTGACGCTGCGTTGTCTTTGTTAACCCCGTCGTACTTGCTGTAATCGGCACTGACGTCCTTCTACGCCAGTCTTTTCTTAATCATGCACGGCGGCGAGAGAATTTTCAGCAAAAAATTGTTTCGTAAAAGCCCGTTTTAATCACGGACTAAAACTCGGTATGGCAGACAAGTTTTGACTTTTGGGAAGCGTGTCCATCTTAGTGAGGTGCTGTGTCCGCCTCATAGAGTGTCGAGTAGTGACTGAACAACGTCAGGGACCATTTACACTGTAGGGAGTGGTTGTCCCAGCGTCTTAGACAACTTGCCGTTAAGAAATGGTTGGTATTTAAACTTCAAATTTTCTTTGTATGTTTGCTGCTGTTAGATCATTCAGTTGATTATCTTAGCTGTCTTCCTCGAATTCGGTGGAGTGTCAAACTTACGTAAATTTTGTGGCGATAATATCGGATGAACAGATTTCTGAGTATCCCGGCTTCTGTGAGTTCACCGAGCTGAATCATATCGTCAACCCCTGAAATACAGCTGGGATGCATCGAATGAACATCATCACTGAGCGATGATCCGCTGAGAAAGTGTTCCTGAAAGATCCATGGATAGGGCTCACATTATTAATTACTCACAAGCTCTTCTATGTTAGAACGCTAACTTTATTTTCACTCTATTCCAAAGAAAAGTGTGAGGGTAGATTAATTCTTTCTTAATTGGTCTCTGCCGAAAGGCATCTTTTGAAAAATATATTCTAGTACTAATTTTTCTCATTTACTCGTCTTAATCGCAACTGTTTGAGTGAAGCTCAACTGCTGGAAAGTGTACTCAAGAGATAGCTCCCTCAACTAGGCCTTAAAACTTTAAAATTTGCTCACAAAAATCAGGGACCCACATTACGCAGTTTCCAGTCATTTTCAATCTTTCCCCCGCTAGAGTAACACAAAGTGTATCACAGGAGCCCGCGCATAACCCAAACGTGCAAACAATTCCCATTGACTGGGCCTAAATCATTGAGTTTTCACGGACCATTCTATTTTTAGATACATTAATGTGCTCCCGGGTGAGTACTACGCTCTTGAGCTCGTGTGTCTGTGATGGGTATATCGTGTGAACTCTAGACGGGTTAGTCATACCTGTCCTTCATCATCGGTCAGCAGCATTCCAAGTCCATCGACTGATTTAACCACTGCGCCAATAGGAATATGAAAGCCTCCGGTACTTTTCACAGAAAGCCACACATGGTCGCCCTAAAAATCGAACAGTTTTATTAGTTACTTTTTGTCTTTGCAATTGAGAAAACCGTACAGTTTGTTAATTAAAATGTTGGGATTCAGTCGCTGTCGCACCTTAGAAAAGAAGGCCATGACGTCAGTATGCTTACTTCCTTAGATGAAAGTCGGCTCGCGTTTCCTTCTATGGGTCCTACAGCTATAGGTGAAAAGACAAATAAAAACATTTGACCTGTCTGAGTTCATAGCATAACGACCGGTCGGTCATAGAGATATGAAACGAGCAAAGTCGCAAAATTGTAATGGGTGCATTCATTCGGTGGGGCACAAACTTGCGACCCGCCCATCACATGCTCTATATACCCGAAAACAAACGTCTGTAAAATGTCGTGACGTTGCGGAGCAATTTCTTCGTCAGTTATAACAAATCACCCTCAAACTTATCACCCTTACTGGTTTTTTGAAAGGCGCTTTTTCAAACCAACGTTGTCAATGGATTTTCGCTGACTTATCCTTGTGAAAAAAAAAAATCAATCAGTCAATTAATGATATTATTGATAATGAATAACCTAATAAATGATTCAAGCGAGAAAACTC